GGATTAGAGTGTACTAATCTTTGCACATTATATAGGCTACACTAACGTGACATTTAGGCAGCTCGTTTAACGTGATGTACGTTTTTTGGGGGGGTGGTTAATGAAAGTGTTCCAAAACGCGACATTAATTTCTTGACGACCTAATAATTACAAATAAAAGTAATCAGTATGAGTGTATACAATTGTGAAGAGCCCATTTTTAGGAATTGATTTGTGTTGGTTATTTTATGTCATATGTTAACTTTTTGAACGTTGTTAGGAAATAAGTACAAAACTGTAGATAGCCCCCTACTGAACGAGCCTTTTCTTAAACAATAAATGTTTTTAGTGAGGAACGTACTGAACAAAATAATTAATTCAGAAATACAATAACAGTAACATTTACAGTAATTAATTACAAAGTTTCAATTATCACAATTAGAACTTGCCTACAGTAAAAGTTGCTATTATTGCATTTATGAATTAATTTACCAAAAAATATCGTATAAATGTTCACACTTCTGCTAAATGTTAACAGTTTTTACCTCGTTAAACATCAGGATTGTTAAATGTTACAGACGCCAGAAAAAATCAAGAACTTGATCTGCAAATTGTTTACCCTAGTTTTATCCCATTTCACAACACCAACACAGACAAGTCCTGGTTGATCTATATAAACCAACCTTATTGGTGCTTGTTTTATTAAAAACGTAATTTTCTGATCTTCTGTCTTTCCATTTTTAATCATTGTTTTAAATTTTCATGTAACTTCCTTTCCTTTTTTAGTTGGTTCATACGAAGCATATTGTATTTTTTATGAATCCTTTTATTTTTTATGAATCCTTTGCATACATTTTGTTCATTCTTTATATAATGATTTCGGACTACGTGAAAAACTTAAAGTTAATTTTACCAGCTAATCGACACGCATACTTTTTAAAAGCACAGTAACTGAGAATTTACAGAATCAGTTCACATGCTGGTGTCTCAAAACCTCCTTTCTCTAAATGTTTCATGTGCTGGTGTCTGAAAACGAAAAAAGCCAATGGCCCTTAAAAAGCTAAAAACACGATCGATTTGAACAGCGTCACCATCACCAATGAATCTGTCCGGCGTCAAAGTAAACCCCGATAAAAAACATGTAGCGACAGCACGAAAGTAAAATGTGGGCAATTGTGACTTGACTGTCACAAAGACCACGCATTTGTGGATCTGTCCACTACAGAAGAACATGATGAGTAACGCAACAGTGACTAAAGCAAAGCCTAGACAAGATAACTTTCTCCCTCCGATCCTTATGGAAACTAGATGGCCAAACAATGACAGTTGGCTTAACATAGAAAAGCATGTTATGAAGTTGCACATCCCAAATTGACTGCCGAGCATCGATCATATGTCTCTAGTTCACGTAAGGGACAGACATAGCTGTGGCAACTCCAGAGCAGACAGATTTAGCTGCAGTGTCAGCAAGCTCATTCCATCGAATACCAACATGGCCAAGAATTCTGAAAAACGGAATAGAAATAGGTGACAAGGAGAAGTGGGCCAGTCATTTCTGAATATCCAAAAGAACTGGGTGAAAACTCGCATTAATCGATTCCAGGGCCATCAAAGAGCTAGGAGAGTCATTATATATAGTAGAGTTAATGTATGTCAGGTTTTATAGGGGCCGGATTCTTTACAGTAACTGTCTTAGACTTGTTGGTGATAAATTTCAACAATAAACTGACAACACACAATCCACGTGTTTTAAAATGATGAATTTAAATCAAGTTTAACGTATGTACAAATGTTCATTATACAGTTAATCACCACAGGGATATCCAGAGCTTTAAATAACTCTCTTTTTTCTTCAAAAGTCTACACAGGCTGGTTCAGTTACTTTAAAACCCAATTGAGAAAACGAATTATTATTCTCTACTCTGTTGTTACAATACAATATGCTTTTAAAGTCGCTGCCATACAAACTTTATGACTAAACTTGCAAACAAAGTCTAGATATATTTGATTATATCTCTCATTAACTTTGCCTTACTTTCACTAACTTACTTACGTGCTTTAACTTGGTCGCCTACATATATATATTGCCTGACTGAGGCCTAGAAGTTTTTATAAACCACGAAAAGTCATGATGTAACAATAGTCATTTTCTAGAAGTTTCGAATAACATGACGTCAATTAGCAACAGTTGAACTACATAACAAATGATTCGTAAACAGTTACGTAAGTAAACTTGCCATAACTATCACTTCTAAAGATACTAAATTTAACACTTGTGCTTCATAATTATTTAAATCATAACTCTCGTATTAAATTTACGTGAAACAGTCATGAATATTTAACAGCGTATTTCTTAACTTCTTTGTGATCCAAGGCCAGTTAAATTGCATACAACTCGACAGAGATCACATAATCTGTAGATGGAATCCTGTGAGTAACCATCAAGCCACAGCAAACCATGGCAGAGTCTACAAAGTCACCCAATTTCGAACCATTAATAAAAAAAACTGGAACAGAAGAATGTTTCAAAAGAGGTTAAGCAAAGAGAATACAGTACTTCCAATAAGGAGTGCCTGTCATTCTCAGAAAAACGGCATAAGAGTGAATGGTAAGAAGCCATGGTGGAATGGGCTGACTATCAGACTCAGTAGCATCATCCAGTGTCAGACCCAATTCAATCAACTGTGGCCCAATATGAAGGCCGAATGTAGAAATGACAGACCATTTATTCCCCAAAAGCACAGCCCACTGAGGCATGATGACACAACCGCAGTTGGAATGCTGTGGTAACGATGGAAGCTTTGTAGCATACAGCAAGGAAAGTTGCAAACGTCTGAGGTGAAGAGGAGGTTCATAGGAGTCCATCTCTGGACTGAGAAAGCTCCCGTACAGAGCTAATGTCCCTGGTGATGTATATGGTCCAACATCTGAAGGCAGAGTTCACAGCTGGATGCCACGGTAAGGACAGAGACAGAAATAGTCGTGGATTTGTCAACTCATGCACCCACGGATGGCAGAAGACTCTTGACATGGTGAGATAAGGACTCTGTGGAAGATCTGTCTGCACCCTCACTGTGGCAGTGGAACAGAGTCCAATAGCATCTGTCCGAGGAAGAAGAGGGAACATCAACTTCTGTGCTATGGAGTATGAAATGTTGTGTACCTCTTTTTTCCTCCACCCATTTAGGATAAGAACGAAAGTATGAGGAAAGACAGCTAGTCAACAACACCCACCCCATAGAATTGACTGTCACATTATAACGCCCCTAAGAGCTTGTGATTCGAACCCGCAACCCACAGAATGCGAGACAAATGCCCTAACCACCAGGCCATTCTAGTCCATAGAAAATAGCTTTGTTATATATATAATGTATATATTATTCCACAGCTTCATTTTCGATCTTTCGGTATTAGCTAATTTGTTTTGAATAAACTTTCAATCTTAGTCTATTCTGCATTGTTTCATTCAGTGATTTTATTTTTGGAACAAATTTTCGATATTAGTATATTCTGTGTTGTACCATTCAACGATATTCCTTTATAAACAAACTTTCAGTATTACTCCATTTTGTGTTAACTCATTCGAAGACATTCTTCATTGCACAAACTCTCTGTATTGTTCTATTGGGTAATATTAGGCCTCTCCTTAGTGAGACTGTTCAGTTTCAAATTATAAGTATCATGGACGTTTCGGTTAAATTGAGACAGTTTTTTTTTGCTTCTTTTAACATTCTCCGAGTAACATTATCTTCTCTTCTATTCTTGGACAAACGCATACCCGAAGGTGTCGACCTTGTCAACTTAATTTGTAAGACATACAATAAGAACAGCATTTTTCTCTGCACTTTATATTTTAAAAACAATAGCTACGTGTTGTTTAAGAAATTGCTCAAAATACCATAAATGAATCACTCAAAGCGTGATAAACGTGCTTCGAAACCTGACTACATTATATCAGTTGTCTTCTCTGCTTCATAATGTTTGTTCCATTGGTGGAATTTGGAGTTGATGAACATATATTTTGCTATATGCAATTTCCTTCATATAAATAGAGCAAGTAAAGCTTTCCACATTGAATCATCATAAACATCCGTTCGCATATCAGGTAAATTATAATAAAGAGCACAAACTAATCATAATGTTTTAAATTTAATATAATATTTCGGCGTTATAAGTGATCCTAAATTAGTGTTGTTTTTTATTAAACTGGACAATTAGTAAATTATCATCTCTGTATAGCTGAAGTATAGGATATTAAAACGACTGATCTTAACAAACAATAAAAAAATGTTCATCATGATCCTACATATTGAGTGCATTCAACCTTTCACGATGTCGGACATCAAACGTCTCCATTAAAAAGAACCAAAGTTTATTAAGTGAAAATTTAAGCATTATTAACAACCATCCATGTTGTTAAAGGCAGACAAAAATTCTGTAGCATCGCTACGTCATGACGAAAAACAGGATGTGTGTGTTTTTACTCATAGCAAAGCCACTTCGGGCAATCTGCTGTGTCCAGTGAGGGTTTTCGAACCCCTGATTTTAGCGTTGTAAGTGTGTGGACGAAAAACAGTATAGTACAGAAACTACTGGCGATCTACTAATTAAAATGAATAAAAATTAAAGTTGTAGCAAATATAAAACATTGTATTAAGAACAGTAGAGGAAATAAATATTTTTTTTTACTGAATATGTTATTGTGTCAACTAGATCAAAATTCTAGAACGGGTAAATATCTTGTTAAATTAGGTTAACTTAGTGGAGTAATTGTACTACGAGATTACAGTCATAAGAACAAATTGAAATCTGTAAATGTTCGTTAATAAATGGCTTGGTTTCAGTTGAGAATTTGTCTACAGATGCATGCAAGTGTGTGATTCGATGGAATTAGCCAAATACCTCTAAACCACTCAACACAAAAGGAGTACAGAGGAGCTACGTGATTGGCTGCTAGTTCCTGACGTTTAGTTTATAAGATAGGCAGCCGCAGCGATACAGTTATAGCTTACGATGCTTTACAAGCGTGATACGTTAAGGTAGAGTTTCGGAACTTGATTGAACAGCGAAATTGACACTGTGAATACTTCCTATGATAAACCGGAAGGACAAAGTTTTCTAGGAAAGCTAACATTCTTCTTATTTTAAAGGTAAGATTTGATTTACCAAAGAATCAAAAATGCAAACATTTATTTCTACTATCAATAAACTAATAAGTATAGTTTACCCAAAAATAGCTAACTTTCGAAAAACTCGATTAAATATTTTAAATTATATCATTTCTTTAGTAGAAGAGAATCAAAATTATTTTGTCTTTGTGCATTTTTTCTGAGAGCTAAAAATAATTTAAATTTCAGCCTAAGATACACTGAAAACAAATTAAGATTTAAGGAACAAATGTCCCAATTTTTCTTCATTTTGAAATCTATCTTTTATGTTATAGCTGCGATCCAGTAAAGTTGGTACACTCAGATGTAACGAAATTCAAGTGATCCTTTAGTTTTAAAACATTTGTTTAAATAATAAAGAGAACACCTGCCGGCTGTTTAGTAAACGAAGCTAGTATAAAGTAATAACTGTTTTGTAACCATCAATGAACCACAGTCTTAGTTTCCTTGATCCACAGGTATCAGTTTTATCCAGTAAAATTACTTAGAAGTCTGTAATACGGGAAACCTCGCCAATCAACTATGTTTGTTTGTAATTAAGCACAAAGCTACACAATGGGCTATCTGTGCTCTCTCTGCCCACCACGGGTATCAAAATCCGGATTCTAGCGTTATAAGTCCGCAGACTGTGTTATGGGGGGGGGGGGCACGTCAATCAAAGGTTTGATTGCTGATCTAACAAAATTACTCACGTTTTATTTGCGTTAAGTATTTCTGTGCCGAACAGAAAGCCTTATCCAATGATTTTCTTGGATGGGCTCGTTTTGTTTTCCAAAGGAGTTAATTTCTGCTCATGGTACATCTTCTTTAGATATACCTATACAAATATATATACGTGAAACTTCACCTATTATGACTTGTTAGAATTTGGTGATGAATAAATTATGCTGAAATATATATTCACGCACGTTTTAGAAATAAACTGGATTATTTAATCCAAATTTATGTGTACGTCAGTTATATGTCAATTCCTTTTAATGCTTATTTTGCACCTTAGTATATAAAGTAGACATACTGTTATTTGAATCCTTTAGTTTAAGCACAGTATCGAATTGGCTAAGAGTAAATAGATTTAAGCAAACAATCACAGCCTTCTGAAGCGTATCTAGATATCACAGCGTAAATTAAAATATGAAGAATTTATCCTGGCAGAATGTGATTTTCCAGTACGGCATGTGTCTGGTCAGTACGGTGTAGAACGGTATGGTATTTACTAATTCATATTATACCAAGGAACGGGACCACTAGTCAGCCATTCAGTACGTTTCAATACATTATGATTGTGCTCAGGATACTGGTTTCGCTGTTAACTCGCAAGTAAATATGGCGGCTCGTGGAATTAATATTTACTTGTTGTCCAAGAGTGTATTTGTTCGCAGCGCTCGAAACATCTCTGGCGATGCCTCTGCTCTAACAGAATTTTAAAGTATGATATATTTATTCTTTAATCAGTTTTTATCTCTGGTTGTTCGGTTCTTAAAAATCGAATGGTAGAAGTTAAGAGTATACGTTTTCTCAATAATGGATATTAAGATTATATCTATATAAACACAATTGCTACCCATAACATACGTTATCGCCACCATTATATTATAACATACGTTATCGCCACCATTATGTTATAGCATACGTTATCGCCACCATTATGTTATAGCATACGTTATCGCCACCATTATGTTATAGCATACGTTATCGCCACCATTATGTTATAGCATACTTTATCGCCACCATTATATTATAACATACGTTATCGCCACCATTATGTTATAGCATACGTTATCGCCACCATTATGTTATAGCATACGTTATCGCCACCATTATGTTATACCATAATTTGAAAATTGTGGAATATAATTTGTTAGTCTTTGGTTTAATTTTATTTCTTTTCCACTCATTATTTTAGTTATATTTTCTTCTGCTGAAAATGTGTTGAACTTATAGAATGAAGTTATTAAAATGCACGTATGTTCTCAGTGATCACGGTATTTATGAGTCAACGTGAGTCATAAGTATGATAATGGTTTTCATAAAAAACTTCTATAATGTTATCTGTACTTTGAATCGTATATATATATATTTTTTTTACTCTTAACCTATAAGGCTCAGTCTCTACCCACAAGTTATAATAATGTGTTTTTAGTGTTGGCGCCTCTGCCTTGTATGGGCCACACCGTAGGAAATAAAATATAAACTTTAGTAGAACTGGCTAATTCAAGGTGTCCCTGAGAAAGAAGTTGAACACCATGGTGATAGGAGCTGGCTTTTTCTTACTTGTTTGTTTGTTTGAATGTGTATGCACAAAACTACACAATGGACTGTTTGTGCTCTGCCCACCACGAGTATCGAAACCCGGTTTCTAGCGTTGTAATTCCGCAGACATACCGCTGTGCCATTGGGTGGGCATTTTACTTACTGAAACTGTTCCATCTCGTTATTGATGGATTACCAAATACAGTTTACGTTACATATAATCCTCTAGCTGGGCTTATCGCTAAGACTTTATAACAACATACAAAAAGTTCCATAAAAAGTAATAACCCGATATTATTTCAGACTGTGCGTTTGTGAATTTATTTGTTTGTCCGCGAACTCCTCTCACACTTTTGAAACTAGCAGGACGAAACTTGGCAAGCAGACTCAGAGTGGCAAACCCTATCAATATGTGGTAGACCCCCTTACCCAGGGAGTACTAAATATAGCTAAACCGCGCCCGAAAGGTCACCTAGGCGTTATAGGGGGATCTCGAGTAGGTTTTCAGGGTCGCTGAATCCGAATCTAGCATCGGATTTTGTGTTCCTGCCACCCATGGGACCCATGATTGGAAAGGTGTTCATACCCCAACTCAAAAGCTGGAGGGGCCAAACGTGGCACACGTGCTCAGATATCACGGCGGATGTTATAATGTGGTTGTTTTTGGGTATGGCACCTCTTGTGGTAGCAATAGAAGTAGATAAGGATAATAGAGGAATTTGATCGCTACACTGGGGTCTCTGAATCACGAGGGATCCTTTGAACTCCGTAACAGAGCACGCTGGTACTCGAGAAAGTTGAAAAATATTCAAACGTTCATATGCATCAGTTTGTTTGCCCACGTATATCATAGAAACCCAAATTTTAACAAATGCTTCACCTCAAGAAAACCCTAATATACATAGATTAACCACCAGAAATAAAAACCTCAAAATACTTAAATATTATAGAGACCTTATCACGGCCCAATGTTAGCGTGTCCGTGGATTTGATGTTCTATGGTTCGCGTTCCGTTACCAACAAAATACACTCCATATTTCTGGGCTGTGGGTGTATTATAAGAGGGACCATTAAATCCCACTATTAATTAGAGTAACTCACTAGTTAGGACTGCTAGCGCAGATTATTTTTGGGCGAAAGTCAACAAACAAACAGGATTTTCGAGCTAAAATTTGTTGAAACAAATAAAAGTGTTATAAATCAATCGTTAAAATTATCCTTGTTGTTATTTGAACTATTTCTTTGTATTCTAAAGTGTATTTAATATAAGTTCACATTAGTGTTTCTGGAAATAGTTGATATTTGGATTGACCTCGATATATGAAACATAGGTTTATCTTATTTAACACGTGATCCCAAGATGTTTTCCAATTAAAAGTCAAATCTTCGTTTCATATAACTTTTCTTCGTTCTGTTAGATCACTAAAAGCTAATTTGTTTAATATGCTAATAATGAAGTTTGGTGTTAGTTTTGGTTCGTCGTGTACATAAAAAAAATGATCGCTACTTCTAATCAAGACTAAAAGTATTGCCTGGAAAAAAAATAATAATAAAGTATATGCACATTTACCCTCAGTGAAGCTAAACACTCTAAACATTAGCCTACCAAAACGATCTCAGCAATGATCACAAAACTAAATATTGACTTGCAAGAATGATCTCAGTAAGATTAAACATAAATAAACTAGTACGTTCTCAGTAAGGCTAAACAAACTAAATACTAGCCTACCAAGACGATCTCGGTAAGGTTAAACAAACTAAATGATAACTTACCAGTATGATCACAATACGTTTAAATATATTAAAAGTTTCCTTACCAGTATGATTTTATGAGCAGATTAAATGTGTCGGATTACCAGAATACCTTCATTAAGGTTGAACAAACACAATGTATCCATACTTGAATGATTTAACTAAAGTAAAATAGGATAAATTTTCATTTACCAGGCTCACCCCAGTACGGTTTAACAGACTAATTATTACCTTACCAGTTGACATCATTATCATTTACAGACTAATTATTACCTTACCAGTTGACATCATTATCGTTTACCAGACTAATTATTACCTTACCAGTTGACATCATTATCATTTAACAGACTAATTATTACCTTACCAGTTGACATCATTATCGTTTACCAGACTAATTATTACCTTACCAGTGGACATCATTATCATTTAACAGACTAATTATTACCTTACCAGTTGACATCATTATCATTTAGCAGACTAATTATTACCTTACCAG